CACACACACACACACATCACAAACTATTGTTTTGATGGCACCGTCGTAAAGTTCTTATCGTCATCATAACCGTCTGGCTTGCTATTGTTATAATTACAAATTATATCTCCTCAGTCATTATCATCATCATTTGGGAGCTAACGCCGGCAAGGGCGCATAGCCGCATCCACTCTTCGCTTCCACCTGCTAGGGTCCCTCATGGCGAGCCGCCAGGCACGGGCCCGGCCCATCTCTAGCTCCTCACGACAGGTTTGATCGATCTGCCCAAGGGTCATCCTGCGGGAATCGAGCCAAGTGGCCGTATAGCCTGAGTTGGCGATCACGGATTGTGCCAGTAACAGGTCCTGTACCGGTCTCACGGTGTAGCCGTTGGTTGGACACATGATCCCGCCAACCAAATGTACCCCATGATCCGGCGCAAGGATCTGTTACAAAAGGCATCAAGACGAGATTCTAAGTCACAAGATAGCGTCCAGGTTTCACTACCATATGGTAAAACTGGCAGTATCAGGGTCTTGAAGACATGTAGCTTGGTCCTTCTGCACAGGTACCGGCATCTCCAAATACTCTTGTCAAGAGATTTCATGACCCCTGCTGCCAGGCTAGGCCATCTACTGACTATCTGGTCTGACAGCCCAGAGTCGTAAACTGCACTGCCGAGGTATATAAAACTCTCTGTAACTTCGATGTCTTCACTGTAAGCACATACCGATTGCACAGGTTCTCCTAGTAGCCCCCCAAAATCCTGGATCTTGGTCTTGGTCCAGGAGACCTCTAGCCCCAGGGACTTCGCTTCATTGCTAAATGCATCAAGAGCTGGTACTAGGGCCAGATAGAATGGCAACATCATCAGCAAAGTCAAGGCCAGTAACCTTGATATTGCCCAGAGTTGCTCCACAGTGACGTTGGATAGTAGATCTACCCAGTATCCAATCCATGCAAGTGTTGAAAAGTGTTGGTGCAAGAACACAGCCTTGCTGAACTAACAGGGAAGAAGCTCGACAGGCCCCCACCACACTTTACAGCACTTTCAGTGTCTGTATACATGTTTGCTATTAATCCAACAATTCTTGTTGGAATTCCTCTTAACCTCAGGATCTCCCAGAGTGATTCGGAATGCGCCGTATCAAACGCCTTCTTGAGGTCGATGTAGGCTGCGAGCAGCCCACGCCCGAACTCACGACGGCCCTCTACAATGACTCGAAGCGCCAGGATACGGTCTATTGTGGACTTACCAGGAGTGAATCTAGATTGCTCCGGCCCTTGGTGCTTCAGCAGGTGGTCTTTGATACGTCTCAGTAGGATGTGCGCGAGTGCCTTGCCTGGTATACTCAGTAGTGTAATGCCTCCATGATTGCTGCAGTATCACCGATCCCCTTTCCCCTTCCAGAGAGGGATGACCACACCCCTCAGCAGATCAGGAGGAATGGTACCAGTCTGCCAGATGGCAGACAGGACTGCATGCAAGCCCCTTGCCATAGGTTCTCCACCAGCCTTTAACAATTCAACTGGGATGCCACAAACACCTGCTGCTGTACCACTCTTCTGCTTGGAAATTGCCCCCTTGACTTCAGTCAGGGAGGGTGGATCCTCACTGATGGGTGGGTCTGGCAGAGGAGTCTCAACATTACCCGCGTCCATGTTAACTGTTGGTGGATCAACCAGGTACAACTGCTCAAAATACTCGGCCCAACGCACACGCACCCCATTAGGATCTGAGATTATCTGGCCACTTGCTGAGCGGATTGCAGTCGTCTGTGAGGAGGGCTTGGAGTTCAGCTTTCTCATGGCTTGGTAGACAGGGCGAAGGTCATTTACTAAGAAATGGCTTTTGACTACTTCTGCAAGATTCTTGATAAACTGTTCCTTATCCCTTCTCAACAGTGTCCTAGTCCTACTCACCAGCGAACATTGCAAGTTGCATCCCTTAAGTATCACCTATTATTGCCTCATATGAGAAGAACAAGCGTTGAATGTTCTCCTTTCTTATTAAAAGGTTTTAGACAGCAGCTGTCTTTATCTCTTAAATGATCTTCTTTTAATTTTCTTAAAAGATTTTATTTATTTTTTTATGTAAAATACCTAAATGGATTATCTACACCTGTAATTAGAAGATTTATGTTAATACAATATATATAAGAGCGTGTATCACTTTTTTCCCCTCTGGAAATCATATTTTAGACAGGAGAGTGCCATATGTTCAATTTATTTTTTATTTATTATTTATTTATTTATTTATATATCATCCTGGAGCGCGAATCAGTCGCTCCTTCGCCTTTGTTTGTAAACAATCCCGCCAAAGGGGTGCAATCTTTCAATTAATAATGACTACAAGTTTTTTCCTTAGCAGTGATTTTTCATTGTACGAATTGTTAGATTTTTATAAATTAAATAAAATTAGATAGATTCTGCATATTAAAGATCTGCGATAAGGTTCTTTAAGCAGAAACAACACCAAATAGATATTGCTCGGAGTACAAGAAGATGCACAGCCATTAGT